GGGGCCTACACAATCTTAATCCGGCCCTGCCCCAACCCCTTGCTTGCATTCCTCCGGGAGGTTGTGAGCGACATGACCTTGGTTGCATAAACAAATGCTGATAATATTGGTGTGGAATGGTTGCCGCGGTAGTGAGATGTTAACTACTTCGCCTGGTATACAGGAGGTCGTGGGTTCGATCCCAACGCCTGCTGTATATTTGGAGTTTGCATGTTCTCCCCGTGATGGCGCAGATTTCTCTCCGGTTTTTCCATACACGTTTAGAAACGCGTTTAGAGTATTTGGCTGCCAGAAATTTCCACGTGATCAGCCACTTATTTGGGCTGTCATTTGTGATAGCCAGGTCGCGTCTGAGAGAGAGCCTTACCTGGTCAAATAACAAGTTTAGTGAATAGGCTGATGAAGTAAAAGATATATATTTCTATTTTTTTGCATTCATATGTGGAGACGTATATTCATTTGTGGAGAGACGGCGGCAGCTTGGACAGGCCTTCATCCAGCAGTGGATTGACCAAGACCAATGATGATGGTGTGGAGACAGAGAACGGAGTCGGTCTTTTACCCATAACCGCTTCGTGCATTGAATGACAAGTCCCATAGTTGGTAGGGAAATGCTCTTAGAGCATCCGACCTCGCTTCCGTGATGAGATCCAGAATGTTGAAACCAGATATCATTTTTTCTGGCTTTTAACAAATGCTTCTGGATAATATCGGTCGGGAAAGATCAAATCGGCTGACAATCGGACTAACAAACAACCCGTGGGAAAACAGCAAGGCGGTGTGCTTATGCAAGGTATGTGCTTTTGCCCTTGAGAAGCCCATCCGGTATTCTGTAGCGGACGAGCGCCCTTGCATCAGCCCGGGCCGGGTGCCTGTCTGAAAATGAAAAAGCGAAGCGCCGTGCATTGGCGCCGATGATCTATGGGCCCTCTGGCTCACGGCGGCGCTGTGATACACTGCAGGGCTTCATTAGCAACGCTCCCAGCCAGCGCGCTTCCACCGCTGAGACGACGCAAGGCGTCCACACGTGCCGCCACCGGCGACGGGGTTTTTCTTTTGTCATCTCGACGATCCTTCGTGTGGCTCGCGGCGCAAACGCGCTGGACTCGCAAAACGACAAGGTCGCCGCTTTGATTTCGATCTCCCGGCGCGCCGGTTTAAGCAACGGTGTGAGTTTATTATGACCACCCTCAACCCAACCCCCCGTCCTCCCCCCCCCTGTCCCCCACCTCCCACCCCCACCGGCTCTGTTAACATTGGTAGCAGTTCTGTACTGTACAACGCAGATAAGTCGATGGGCAGGTGGGGTAAAGTGTGGGTACTCTCACCCAGTCGTTCAGCGTCTTGTGGGGCCCGCGTGGAATAGTCGGGCCAAATACCCCATTTCTAGAGTTCCCTCTAGTGGAGGCCCTGAAGCCAGCGGTGCTGTGAGCAGGCTGTTGCAGGGCTGTGCCTTTACTAAGAAATGCTCCAGGACATCTGCCTTTAACTTTTGAAGCAATAATATGCAGTCCACCACCGATTATGTATTTTTACGGCAGATGTTTTTTTTTCCCATTTATTTATTTTTAAGTCGATTTTTGGTTGGGTAGGTTGGGGAGGGCATTCTTTTCCAAGGGGCTTTTTTTGAGCACGGAATAAAAAGCACGCAACGTTGCAAAATAAACACGAGCATGGTTTGTCGCCAGGGGTTGTGGCATCCAAGGGCACGCGCGCAACAAGGCTTTCGAGTAACGCGTAACTGTGTCTGGCTTCGTGGCACGAGTTGGATCAGTGCATTTGCATGTGGGTTCAATCCCATTGAAACCGCACAGGCAGCAGGGGCTGGCCGAGTGGGTGAGCGGCGGGGGCGAGAGAGTGTGGCAGTGTGGCAGGGGAGTGGTGGCGCAGCGGTTAGCACGCTGCGCTACGAACCCGTCGAACCGAGTTCGATTCCCGGCCAACGCCAGTGACAATTAACTGAACCGGTCCTGGTCCTCTCCTAGGTTTACTCAGCCTCAAATGAGTACCCGGTGCGGTGCGTAAACATCGCCACGAGGGAGACAAAGGCGGCCGGGCGTGTTGTTGGCCACCCACTCCCGCATGTGCCGAGCCGGCCTTCGTAGGTGCTCGCTAACAGCACTTGCCCCGGCAGTCTGTTCGGGCTATACGGGGGGTCTTTGTCTTTGGGGTGACTTGAGATTCTTGGGTCCTTTTGGGCAACTTGGTGGTGGGGGGGTGTGTTTCTGACATTGAATCAGCAACAACCACGAAAACAGCCTCCGTTTGCCACCAAGTGGTGGTGACGTGCCATGCTAGGTGCACCTTGAGACCACACGTGAAGTGTCGAAGGCTGTTGTGCCCCCCCCCATGACTGACGCACCATGGCCCCCCAGTGCCCATCGATAAACCTGCCAGCGGCAAACGGGAGGGGGGCAGTCTCGAATATTGCAAGATTGTTAAATCGGGCCCTACATGAATAATAAATGAAACCTTCAATATATTATCGTTAATAAATACTGCATCAATATATAGGAGTCTCAAGGGGGCGGGCAGAGGGAGAGCATGGGGGTCGGGGAGCGATTTAAACTATAAAACTAAACTATTTTTTATTTTACCAGGTAAGAAACTGAGCGACATAGCTCTTTTTCAGAAGCGACCTGGCCACAAATCGTAGCTCAACGAAGCGGCTTATCACGTGGGCATTTCTAGCAAACCAAATACTCTTAAACGGGTGATGTTGATTTTAAATGTTAGTTGAAACACCGGAGGACCCGGAGAAAAATCCACGCGACCACGGGGAGAGACAGACATGAAAACTCCAAATATACCAGGCCCCCCCATCACTCCACCTCCCCGCCCTCTCCCCTGCTTGGGTCTGCCACTTGCCTGGGATAATGAAGGAACTGGGGGTGCTAAGAATCACTGGGGGGGGGGGGGGGGTGCACACGGTGTTATCCTCTAACACGTGACAATCGGGGCGGGGAGCACGACCCAGCGGTAGCGAATTCATTCGTTCGCCACCTGTTTAAGAAATTCACGGTTCGAATCCAGCGACCGCCCCGGTTATTACCACGGTCACTCAAGATCCCCTGACGTCATTCGCAAGAGCCAGGGGCTATTGTGTGCCCCGCGTCAGGTGACCAAATTTTGAAATTGCCCGTAAGGTTCTCAATTTGCAATGCACATAACAGTCATCTTGCCCCGACTGTAAAGAATTCGGCAGAACCCTCCTGAAAAGGAGTCGTAAACCATCATCACGCAAACTACGGTCATCCTCGCAGCAGCGGCTTTTGGCTAAGCCATTGAACAAAGACGGTCACCCCGTCGCGTGCTTTCAGATGCGATTCTGCGGCCGTCTGGAATGCTCTTCCTTCCGATATTAGGAAGCCACTGGAGGTTGTGCGCTTTTAAATCGAAGTTGAAAACCAATTCATTTAGAACTGCTTTTTGTTTTTAGTTTGTTGTCCTTCCCCTGCACGTCCGATTAGCGCGATTGGCCATGTACGCTGCGAAATAAGTTCAACGTGCATTCGACTGAGTGAGGCTTTCCTGGTTAAACAAGCGTAGTAGTAATAATGATAACATGTGTAGGTTTTTTCCGCGAAAACCAGTTTGTTGTCACGTGCCACTCATGGTTCATGGCATTGGCCAAACACAATGATACAGGACCCTCCTGAAGCACAGTCTTGAGACTTGAGTGAAGTATTCCTGGATAAACAAAGGGCATTGTTGTTGTTGTCATTATTTATTTAGGCCAGGCCAGGCCAGAGCCCGTTGAGACGCAAGTCGCCAAAGCGGCACAGGGTGGCACACACACAGGGTGACACACACACAGGGTGACACACACACACACAGGGTGGCTTGCAGACACACACACAGGGTGACACACACACACACAGGGTGGCTTGCAGACACACACACAGGGTGACACACACACACAGGGTGGCTTGCAGACACACACACAGGGTGACACACACACACACAGGGTGGCACGCAGACACACACACACAGGGTGGCAGGCACACACAGGGTGACACACACACACAGGGTGGCACACACACACAGGGTGGCACACACACAGGGTGGCACACACACAGGGTGACACACACACACACAGGGTGGCACGCAGACACACACAGGGTGGCACACACACACAGGGTGGCACACACACAGGGTGACACACACACACACACACAGGGTGGCACGCACACACACAGGGTGACACACACACACACAGGGTGGCTTGCAGATACACACACAGGGTGGCAGGCACACACAGGGTGACACACACACACAGGGTGGCACACACACAGGGTGGCGCACACACACAGGGTGGCACAGACACAGGGTGGCACGCACATGCACGCACACACGCATGCACACACGCTCAAACAGACACACACACACAGGGTGGCACACACAGGGTGGCACACACACAGGGTGACACACACAGGGTGGCACAGACACACGGTAGCACGCGCACGCACATGCACGCAAACACGCATGCACACACGCTCAAACAGACACACACACACAGGGTGGCACGCGCACACACGCATGCACACACGCACACACACACGCAAGCACATGCACACACAAACACACAAGCACATGCACACACACACAAGCAAGCACACGCACGCACACGAGGTCAATAAACCGCGTCGGAGAGAATGGAGTGCAGGAAAACATCGAACAAGTTAAAGGCTCTTTTATGAACCCACTGCTGGATGAGGGCCTCCCCAGGCCGTGCAGACTGTGGGACTGTAGGACGTGTTCCCGCGTGCGAAGTTTCGAATCGCACTGTCAAAACTGAGAAGATGCGTTTGTGAAACTGTGCGCAAGCAGGTGGGGTGTGCGATGACGGCCTGCACCCTTTGTAACTGTGTGGACCTCGCTTTGTCAACTCCCAACCCTCACACCGCACCATGCCACACCACGCCACACCACGCCGCACCACACCACCACGCTACACCGCACCATGCCACCCCCTCCCCCCCCCCCCCCCCCCCCCGCAGGTGTGGAGGATGCCTTCTCATTCACCCCGAAGGTGATGACGGTGTCCGTGCACAAGTTCTCGCCAGGTTTCTTCCCAGGTAAGAGTTGAAACACCCAGGGACCCCCACGAGGCACCGCTTAACTCTCACCCTGTGGCCAGCCTACAGCCCTGCCTACACTACCCCCATAACTTACCCTAAACACGTGACCATCCTACAGCCCTGCCTACACTACACCCTAACTTACCCTAAACACGTGACCAGCCTACAGCCCTGCCTATACTACACCCTAACTTACCCTAAACACGTGACCAGCCTACAGCCCTGTCTCGACTACACCCATAACTTACCCTAAACACGTGACCAGCCTACATCCCTGCCTACACTACCCCCATAACTTACCCTAAACACGTGACCAGCCTACAGCCCTGTCTAGACTATAACCATAACTTACCCTAAACACGTGACCATCCTACAGCCCTGTCTAGACTACACCCTTAACTTACCCTAAACACGTGACCAGCCTACACCCCTGCCTAGAATATAACCATGACCCTATGGCCAAATCACCCAGAATGCACCTCTCTGTCCACCCACTGCTAGATGGTCTCCCCTTGCTCTGCTGATCGTGGGGGTTATTTGACCATACTTCACCAGACCGCTGAGTGTGCGGTGGTGAAGGGGAGGGGGTCTGGGGGCAGAGCCAGTTCCAATATTACTCACCGCTGGTGTTAGCCGTAGCTGTAGCCGGCAACTCAAACTTTTGAGTCACCGGATTCATAGCGTGGTGCGCTAACCGCTCTGCCACTACTCCAATCAGCAGGGCTCTGTGCGTGTCATTTAAGAGGGCCGATTTGATATCGAGGGCCCGTTGCAGGTTCAGAGCTAACCGCGGGGTTTTTTTGGTCTTTTCGCCGAGAAACCGTTTTTCCGAGCACCAAACGGAAACGAAGATCTGCGGAGACGGGCTGGGGGCTTCCGCAGATTTCTTTTCTTTTGCCTGAGGTGCTGGGTTTTGTTCACTGGGAGGCAGCAAAGTGGTGTTAAGATAATACAATAATAATATAATACAATAATACAATACAATAGTAATATAATAATACACCAATAATATTATAATAATTATACAATGATATATAATAATACTACAATAATGATGATGATTTAATAAGGTGGAGAGCACTCCCTGTTGGTGTATTATCATCATCATCATTAATGTTTAGTTATTCTCACATTGATGTTAACGTTAATGTTAGCCAACCGTGCTAATCGCATCTCCGATTAGCGCCCTTGGCTACGTACAGTGTGAAAGAAATTAAACATCCATACATACAACAGTGATGGAAGGACAGCGGCATTTAAAATCATACCTTTGGGGAACCTAGTGAATAAGTCACGTTTACTCAAAGAACGTGAAAATAAGAATAACTTACAGCACTTTTTGATTTAAAGCTTTCGTGACTGCAGGGACTCATCTTCTTTGTTCTTTCGGTAAAGTCACGTAGAATGGAAGTAATAAAATAATAATCCAATGCCGGATGAAGGGCTCCTTACACTCTGTAAATTAATGGCTGTTGTTTTTTTAACCATACTTCACCACGCTGGCCAAGTGGGTTCGTCAAAGTGCAGGCCGGATCTAGAAACTTTCCACGGTCCGGAAGAAGATTTTTTTTTAAAAGGGCCCTACATTCATCATAATTACATGAACAACAACAAACATTCAAAGCAATTTCTTTGGTAAATGTCAATAAAATACCATTCTTTGTGGTCTCAATGAAGGGGGCACGGAGAGCAATCAGCATCCGTATCCCTTTGTTGTTTCCTCGATTCATGAAACGGGGAAGGGGACTACAGTCCAGTCACAACTCGGATATCACTCACCACTCATGATGAACGTGGCCGGGAGTCAAGCTTTGGCCTACAGGTTAATAGCGCAGTGCGCTAACCACTTTCGCCGCAGCATCCACCGTATGTTTATTTGAAATGTGGAAATACAAAACGAAGTTCTGCTTATACAGTACTGGGTATAGTCTTACCCAGAATGCTTCAGAGCAACACACAATGAGGTTTACAAGCAATTCTGCTGTTGCCATTGAACGAAGTCCCATCGTTTATACACCGTGCTCTTGTCAATGTCATCTCGTAAGCCCAGCGAGCATTTGTTTAACAAACCTGCTTCTGCCGCCGAGACCCAAAAAAGTCTGTAAATCGGTCCAGAGTTTGCTTGCTTAAATGCCGCTTGATAACGTCGGTTTGGGAAAGCATTTGTATTATGATATGTGGAGACGCACAAGGGCGTTCTGCTTATACACTCTTTCTCTCCTCTGTGCGCATTAGCCCGAGCTAAAACCACAGCCTTACACCACATGCACACATTTGCGGAGGGGCAGAGCAGTGCGTGTGGCGACACACTCATTCAGTCGCGGCCGGCATGAAACAAAGGAAGCCATCCATGTAATGTTGACACACAAAGAGCCACACAGCCTCCCTCCCTCACTCCTCTCTCCCTCCCTCCCTCCCCCACCTCCACTCCCACCCGCAATGTCATTTGCGCTTGTCTGAATGCTATTTTTTGGCCAATTGAGAGCATTCCTCTTATAGTCCTATCGATGGACCCGTGTGCCCTGCCTATAGATTTTCATATCCGTACAAGAGTAAAATTATATCTGGCGCAGTTATCTTGATGGGCTTGCTGCACGCGCACACACGCGTGTGCGTGCGTGCGCGTGTGTGTGTTCGCATCAATGGTTAGTGCACTGTACTATGAGTCTGGCAACCCTGAATTCGATTCCCAGGCACGGCCAACGTCAGTGTCGACTAGTAACAAGACTTGTCCTAGACCTCCTCTAGGTTTACACATCAGCACTGGGGAGACAAAGGCGGTCAGGTGTGGTACATGCCAAACAAATTCCTGACTGGCCTCAATAGGCGCTCGCTAACAGCGCTTGCCTCAACTGTTTATTCAGCTGAATAATGGAGATGCTGTTTCAGTCTGGTCACACAGTGCCTATATCCAACAGGCGCAGTGTGACCTTCATCCGGCAGTGGCTTGGTAAAAGCGCGCTGTGCTACAAAATGAAATGATTCCCTGCTCAAAAAAGCATTGAGGCAGTGTCCGTCTCTCGTTTGCAGCCCTGAGCCAGTGTTGGGAATGAATTCCACATTCCCATGGCAAGGGCGAGTCTCTCCATTGCACAAACCACGGTTGACTTCCTTGCAAAGCGGCGCTCGTTTTATCTCACCCCAGGGTAGATGATGGGTTTGTTCAAAACGCTGCAAACAAGACTTGAACCTCGCAACCTTCCGGCTGATTGCAATCCGCCCGCTCCGTACCGCTGAGCCGCAGTGCTGTTGACTTGGCTGCCTACGGATTCTGGGCTTTTGACTTTGCGTCATTTGTTCCCTTCCGCGGTGGTGGCGTGGACAGCAGACGCGTTGCGAGTTTAAGACGGTTGAGGGAGGGAGGGAAAACTATAAACAATTTTTATTTTAGCAGGTGAAGTAAGGTCCACTGAGCTATGTAGCTATGTTTCTCAGAAGCGACCTGGTCACAAATACTATCCCAACGTAGTGGCCTTATCACGTGTAAGTTTTTTTATAGCAGCCAAATACTCTAAACGCGTGGTGATGTTGATTCTAAATGTGGAGAGGAAAAACCGGGAGGACCCGGAGAAAAAAATCCACGCGACCACGGGGAGAGAGAGACACGCAAACTCCAAATATACAGCAGCAGCAGGCGTCAGGGTCGAGATCGAACCCACGACCTCCCGCATACCAGGCGAGGTAGTTAACGCCGCGGTGGCGAGAGGGAGGAGGGCTCCCCTCCAACACGACGTGCTCGCAGCCACGCGCCGCCCGTCAGCGCCGGTGACGTGCGCTGGCGCGGCAGAAAGACGCACGCGTTCGTTCCCTCCGCGTGCGCTGTTTGTTTGAGAGGCGCGGGTCACGTCACCCTCTGTCTCCGCGCGACCCGGCACGGCGACACCACCGCCGCCTCCCTCCGTCGCCCACCGCCGCCCCCCCTGTCGCTCCACGAACCGTCGGCGGCGACCGCCAGAGCGTTTGGAAACGGCCTGTGAAGGCCACGAGACAAAATAACACTGAAAAATAATCTACGCAACACACGCGCTAATGAATGACCGTGGAGACGGGAGCAAAAGCAACATTACGACGTAATGAGATTATTACTTTAATAGTTAATTTGCAACGATTGCCGTCCAAATGTTTTTACTGAGACTTATTAAGATTGAAAACTTGCACTAATTTTCCCTTTTGTAATTTTTGCGCCTTGCTCCTCCTGATGGTCATCCGTTCAACAAACAAGCGCGGAAACGAATTGATTCGGTCGGCATTTCCAGTTTTGGGGGACAGTGGTTCTCGGTGGCAGCAGACCGAAAAGGTAGCGGCAACTTGGGGTTGAGGGCCTTCGTCCAGCAGAGGATTGATCATGGCTAACCGTAACTAATCTACCGTGTAACCAATAATACTAATTTACCATATAACCAATAATATTAATCTACCGTTCAACCAATAATACTAATTTACCATATATCCAATAATACTAATCTACCGTGTAATCAATAGAGGCCTGCATGTCCAAACCGTGCAGTACCCAACGCACTGCAAATTGGAGCAGTAATTACTTATTGTAACATACGCCTCGCAAAACAAACACTGGTAATTCTGTACAATATATTGTACACGTTGAAGCACTCATTATTTTGCTCGTGAAATGCACGCGAAGCCTGCCGCTGTGCATTGCACACACACAGGGAGCACAAATTGAAGCGGCGATGATTTAATTCAAACGAAACAGCCCCTTGATTAAAAATAAACACACGTATCGCCATATCAATATATCGCATTTATCTTCAAACTTTTTTTTGTTATTCAGAACGCATGAGTCATTCGCTTATGTCACGGCCAGCACAACCTCGACATTGGCATTCAGCCCCTGAACGTTATTTCCGCCAGCGCTCGCAGGAATAGCATTCTGCTCGAGTTATTTATTTTTTAACAAAAAATCTGCAGGCTTTCGGGAAGAAGCCCACGCGAACTCGGGATTTGCTGCGAGTCCACTCTGCCAACTGACCGTCGCGAGAACACAGCGGACCAATCCGAGAGGCGTGACCGTTGATTGAAGCTCTCGAAAGCCCTCTTCCACTATTGCGTGAACTGGGCTACAACATTAAGCGGTATCAATTAGCATACGTAAACACACACACACGCAGAAAACAAAGCTTCTGCTGTTTCGACACCGGCCAGCCGGCGGAGTAACGCAATAAATAAGGTCCCGGTCAGGATGTTTTTTCGGTCTTTGAAAGGAAATAACATTTACTCCATCGGGCCATGAGCCTCACCGATTAACATTTCCCGGTAACGTTTTGTTCAAACAAGGCAGGCTCGGGCTGGCTTCGTTTTCGTTGGGAGTCGTCAGCGATGTTTGCTGCCATAAATTCGCACGCGATACACGATAGGCCACTTCGTTGAGATATTGTTTGTGGCCAGGTCGCTTCTGAAAAATAAGCCAGTAGCTCAGTGGGCTTTAACTGTTAAGTTAACAAATAGTTTAGGTTTATTTGTAGGTTTATTTTGTATACTTTAAGCGATTTTCTTGGCTCTTTCGGTAAAGTCACGTAGAATGGAAATAAGAAAAATAATAAAAATAAATCATTATAAAATGATTCTTTATTATGTTTTATTATTTTATTATTTCCATTCTACGTGACTTTACCGAAAGAACCAAGAAGATGAATCCCTGCAGTCACGAAAGCTTTAAATCGAAATTTAAGCGATTTGTTTACCTTTCCTGTACTATCTTGATTTGAAGCTTTCGTGACTGCAGGACTCCATACTCTCCGGTTCTTTCGGCCTATACTTTGCACTCACGTTTTTGTATCGTGGTTGCTATTGTTGTAACATTCTAAACTTCCCCGACAGGACATCTATGAAAAGAGCTTCATAGCTCATGGGATTCCTCCAGTATATAAATATATAATCTGATTCTGTTTGGCCTCTCAAACCAATGCTGCTGGGTGATCAACCCCATGCTATGAGTAAGGTCCCCGCATGGGCACCATGGCAACAATAACAACACAAACAAAACAACGCTGGTAATCTTCGCAAAAACAATACAACATTTACAAAAATATAACCATGCTGTGTCATGGTTCATTGCGCGAATTAAAATAATAAACACGGAGTACATTTTTGTAATAGGTTTTTACCCTTTCAACTGGTACAACAAACTGACACCTTTATACAAGGCATCATGTTTGCAATAACCACAACACAAGCAGTCAAAATGCAAACAAAAAGAAACAACTCTGATGATGATAATGATATGCACTGTCCTTGAAGTTGATTGGTCCACACCCGAGAGACAGCTTTTCTTAGAGCCTAGTCTCCATTGGTGTTGGACTAAATGACGCCAAAAGGCGTACAACTCAAACACAGGCACTATCAGAGTATTGAGAGCTCGGGGCAAGCATTGACTGCTTGTGTTGTGGTTATTGCAAACATGATACCTTGTATAAAGGTGTCAGTTTTTGTACCAGTTGAAAGGGTAAAGACCTATTACTATATTTTGCCACTGGTAAAGGAGGTCTCATAGTATATTTTTGTTCACGTTAAAAGTCAAATAACGTCCCCCGGCCCACGGGACATGTGGAGCAACGGCCCCAGTTTAATCCGGCAAACAGTGGACACGTTTCAACGTTTTAAAGTCTCATCAGCAGTGTGTCCGTGAGGAACAAATGGTGCCTCGGTTGCCTTTTGTTGTAGGTCATAGCCGTACACAAGCGCCATGGAAGCCTGCTTGGATCAGTTCCAGAAAATGCTGCACCACGTGTACTGTGGCATCGTGGAGGATTGTGGGTAACCGTGTGAGCGATGTAGTCAGCTGGTGTGTAGGTGCTCGGTGCATTGTTTATTCGGGGGATCGTGAGAGATGGCAACAGCTTTGGGGGGACGGGGGTGTGGGGGTGGTGCCTTCATCCAAAAGTGGATTAATCATGGCTCAAGATGATGATTGTTATTTTATTCCTGTTCATATACGCTGATTGGTTACGGAGTGGTCGCGTTGGTTTTACAGGTCAACTCTTGTTGACCTGTAAAACCAGTTTAGTAATTAAATTCAGAAGGATAGTTTTGCTCAAGCTGAATTCTCTTTGGATATTACGCAAACCTCATTATTCATATATAACATTTGAAAAGCATGTACGTTGTGCAGTGCTTAGCGAACTGTCCAACCACCCCACCTCCCCCAACACCCACTCCTTCACTAACCCGCACTGACCAGCAGGGCGAAGTATGGTCAGTGTGTGTACGTATGTTGAACTTCTTTCGCGCCGTACGCAGCCAACCACCGGTACTAAATCGGAGGTGCGGGAAACAAACAAACCTCCACCAGTGGCATGGCAGGGGAAGGCCTTGATCCAGTGCAGTAGTGCATGCAGAATCTACAGTGGCTTGCAGGGCATACGAGAAACAATGACAATGTATACAGATCGAAAGTCAAATCAATTCTCGCACGCACTGTTCAGTGCGGTTATTGTGACCGCCGTCGTCAGGATCGATTTGAACACCACGAATATCTGAATCAGTCCCGGGTCTCCCCTAGGTCGACTCGGCCTTCAAATTAGTTCCCAGTGCGGTGTGTCGTGAACATCGCCACTGGGGAGACGAAGGCTGCCGGGCAGAGCGCAGGCCACCGTCCCCCTCGTGTGCCGTGCCGGCCTTAATAGGCGCTCGCTAACAGCGCTTGCACCCGTAGCCTGTTAATGGCCATACGGGATGATCTTTGTCTTTGGTCTGTCTGTGCCCGCAGGTACGGGAGGAATCGACGAGGTGGGCATGGGCAAGGGGAGATATTTTGCCCTCAACGTCCCGCTGCAGGACGGCATCACGGACGACAAATACTACTACGCGTGTCACACGTACGTGCTGCCCATAGCGCCCCACCCTCCACCGCCCTCTCCATCCTTTTTGCCAACTGGGGTTGCCACCTGTTCTGTTTTTTCCCAGGATTGTTCGCTCTTTCAGGTGGCTCTCCCGGGGAAATCTCCAAGTCTTCACGGTGGTATTAAAAGTCTCTTGATATTTGTGCAGTCGGGTAACGATAATATTGTCATACGCCACTCGAGACGAAGCATTTACACGTAGCTCTCCCCTCTTTTCCGTATCGTGAGATATCCTTCCCGTTGCTATGATCTGTGCCGGTTTTATTATACCCCGGAGGTGGTAACCCGATTCCTCTGCTCCTAACGCACCGCCCCCGCCACTGTCAAGTGCCCCCTTCTTGCGTTCGCTTCGCCGGTCGATATCCAAATCGCTCGGCCGCTCCATATGCCACGTCGTCGCGTCCAATCAGCCCTTGTCGTGCTCTCCTTTCTGGCCGCCGCCATCAGGGGCAGCACAGCGCGCGACGGCTGTTCGCTGGGCAGCTTTGTGGTTACACGTAGACGGGCGTGTGGGGGGGGGGGGGTCGGAGGGGAGCGTGCCTGAAGTGGTGCGTGTCACGTGACGCCGTTGTCCGTGACCCGGCACACGCAGAAGACAGCGCCGCGGTCTGTCGCCACAATCGTGGCGCAGCCAGTCTGTCGGAATGAGAATTTTTGCTTATCCTGGAGGTATCCGATGAGCTTATTAGGATGTCCAGGATGTACGTGTGTTGAACTTCTTTGGCACCGTACGTAGCCAACCGTGCCAATCGGAGGTGCGGGGGAAGGACGACAAACTAAAACGCAACAAAAATTAGTTTTTAGTGGCGGCATGAGTACATGAAACCATATGCAGCGAAAGCTGAGAGGCAGCCTCAAGCAGCTCACGAGCCGCGGATTCATGAAAACCAGACACCGGCTCAAATAATTTAAATCCTTGTAAGCATAACAAGGCCAATTAACGCCACAAATACAATTCATACTATCACTCATTCCGAGCGTGTCTGCATCTCTCTTCTGTCATCTCGCTGCGTCTCTATCTCGCATGCTTATTTCTACTCTCATCTCACTCAGATTTTAGTAAGTGCAGAGGCGGGGGGGCGGGGCGGGGGGGGGGGGGTGGGGGTAACATGGTTTTTTGCTTAAGGTCCTCAATAGGCCACCAGCACCACCACTTGGTCTGGATTCCCTTCCTCGCCGAGTCGTCATCTCAAATTAAACTGCGTAGCTCTTCTTCAAAAGCGACCTGGCCACAAATTATAGCTCAACGAAGTGACCTATCATCACGTGGGAATTTATAGCAGCAAACATCGCTGACGACTCTTAACGAAGACGAAGCCAGCCCGAGCCAAATACTCGAAACGCAGCCAAATAGTCGACACGCAGCCAAATAGTCGAAACGCAGCCAAATACTCGAAACGCAGCCAAATACTTGAAACGCATGTCGATGCTAAACTTGGAAGGAAAATACCGGATGACCTGCATGCGACCACGGTGAGAGAGAGAGACACGCAAACTCCAAATATACAGCAGGTGTCAGGGTCGGGATCAAACCCACGACCTCCTGCATACCAGGTGAGGTAGTTAACATCTCCTAGCCACCGAGATGTTAACTACCTCACTATCAATCGACGGGCAATGACAGTGCCACTGCTGCAGCTGCTGCTGAAGAGTTTAGGGGCAAATTGAAACGTGGGGCCTGAACTTTGGACCTGAAAACACAAACTGCAGCCCCCCCCCCCACTGTTGTCCCCTCGCCTGCCCGCCGCGGCTTTGCGGCGCAAATATTAATGCGATCGCGCTCTTTTGGCGGCAGCTCTCACCAAAGTCACCGGGAATGTTCCGATTTCGGTAGCCTACGCAGGCTTAAGCCCCTGGCTGTCGTTGAGTCTGAACAAACCATTGTCACACCGGCGGCTGCGCCTGCGATGCATCGTGGGGAGCAGAGTTCAATGCAGCAAAGTCCATCGCTGTACTGTACTTCTGTGCCACCGCCGCCGCCATATCACCGCTCCCCGCCCCCTCGTCAGCCCGCGCCAACCAGCGTGGTATAGCGCTGTCAAATCACCTGGATGACGAGGAATACCGTCATCCAGCAGTGGATTGATGCGAGTGCTCGTTGCTTGTGCACTTGGGAGTAACACGGTGGGATGCGGTGGATTCGAGGCGAGGGGTCCGGTGGATGTCGCACGGAGGAGATGGAGAAGACGCACGCAGCCGCCCGATTTTAGCGCGCGTCGCCGATGCACAAACACGCCACGTCCTACGCTGGCATCGCTTCGCTCGCGTAGCGAACGTGGCGGGCAGAGAGAGAGAGAGAGAGAAAGAAAACGACGAACAACAATGCTCATTCGCTGGCGAGGGTGACTCTCACTCCGCATTCCTTAGGCGTTGTGTTTTCCACATTGCCACAGCTCCATGAGCTCAGGCAATTCAACTTCTGGCACCACCCTGTCTGTTGCCGCCAGCGCCGCCACCGCCGCCGCCGCCGCCGCCGCATCGTCGTCGTCATCGCTCGACCCTTTCACACCCAAGATTTCTACACTTGCTCACAACAGAGATCTCCCTCCGCCTGCCAGCTCCCCCCCACCCCCCCCCCCCCGCGCTTCGGGTGAGCGCGCACGCGTGCACGCCCTCGCCGCGTGCAACCACCTTCGGGGTGCAACTCTGGGTGTGCTTTGCTTTCAGAAAGTGACAGCGTTCACGGAGTCACTTTCTAATTTTGCACGCGGCCACGTGCATGCGATGCTGCCCAAGTATAATTTCACGGGTTGGTATGTAGCAAGTCATCGTTCTAATCATCATAATCATTATAATCGCCGTGAGCCATGGTCATTCCACTGCTGTATGAAGGCGGGAATTTATGGTAATATTGCCTCTGAAAACATTTCATAAACGTATCCGATAGTTTTGTTCCAGGAGCTGGTCCTGCTTCTTTGGTGACGTCCACAGGTTAAACATCTGGTCCAAGAGCTTTCTTCATCATCCTGTCGAAGGGGCAGAGTTGACTTCTTCAAAGTGTGACGTCATAGAACGAAGGCTGGAAAGCGCACAACAAAAAGACGCGTGGAGAGGTGCGCGCTTAGGAATTTTACGCCGAGCGAAGGACAAGGGGAAATCGGGGAGCAAACGCCGATTCGGGGCGCCACATTGTTACGGGATTATTTCGATTGTTGTTTTAGATTATTTGGCTGCTATAAACGTCCAAATGATGAGCCATTTTGTTGAGCTATCATTTGTGGCCAGGTCACTTTTGAAAAATAAGTTAATGCCTCAGTGAGCCTGGTCTGGTAGGATGGGGATGGTTTAGTTGTATGTGTGCTGTGTGATTTGTTTACCTTTATTGTACTTAGCACGCCTATCGTGTTTTTGTATTGTTTGTTGTTGCAACGTTCTTACCCACCCCGACTGGACATCTGTGAAAAAGAGCTTTACAGCTCATCGGATTCCTCCTGCAGTATGTTGTTCAGATTCTGATTCTGAAGGGAGCGACGGTGGCATGGAATGGCGACCAAGGGAGCGGACAGTATGTCCAAGGGGGAGACGGAGCCACGAGATTGGCCCATATGTGGACCTGAAAATGGATTGTGGCATCGCGAGATTACGAGGGATGGCGAAGGCCTTCGCCCGGCGGTGGATCGTTTATAGTTTGTGGCTGACGCGTGTGTGATTTTAGCCAAAGCGCACCCCACACATACGCCGCAGGGGAGGAGCGGTGGCACGGTAGTTAGCATGCTGCGCTTTGAACCCAGCGACCTAGGTTTTTAATTGCAGCCACGGACAACATCGGTGGCAAGGAGAGTTTTGTTTGCAAGGGTGACCTGAGGCATTAGACTGCCAGTGGGGGGTGATGATTGCTGCGGTGTGTGTAAGGGCACCACGGTGGCGAGATGTTAACTACCTCGCCTGGTGTACAGGAGGTTCGTGGGTTCGATCCCGACACTGACGCTTGCATATTTGGAGTTTGCGTGTCTCTCTTTCCCCGTGGTCGCGTGGATTTTTCTCCGGGTCCTCTGGTTTTTTCCTCCACATTTAGAATCGACATCACGCGTTTACAATATTTGGCTGTCTCCCTGACAGACCTGGTCTTCACCTGAGGACAGCTGCTTACGTTGTGGCCGAAACGTCGTGAGAATTATTTTATTATGTTTTATTTTATTATTTTATTATTTCCATTCTCCGTGACTTTACCGAAAGAACCAAGAAGAAAAAATATTTGGCTGCTATAAATTTCCACGTGATAAGCCACTTCGTTGAGCTATCATTTGTGGCCACGTCGCTTCTGAAAAAAGAGCTACGTAGCTCAGTGGGCCATACCTTACCTGGTAAAATAAAATAAAACATGTTAGTGTAGTTTCAAGTTAAACCCGTCACTCTTGCCTGTACGCTGCCGCCAGTGCCGTCACTTTTGGCGTGGTCGGGGACGTGAGTCCGGTATTAAACGCAGACTCGTTACTCAAGCGGGGCGCATCGGCATGTGATGGTATCGTCATAAAATCGGCGTTTTACGGCGCGCGCTCCGTTTTTTTCTTTTCCCAGGCCAGTGGGAATCGCTGAGCAATCCCCCAACTCGTAGTCAGAGAAGTAACACACCTCTCCCATCAGCCCGAGCCGACTACTAATTATAACCGAGCTACGTGCACGCACACGTGTGGATTCGCTGTAATTAAATAGAACCTGAATGCCAAGCATCGCATTAAGTGCCGTTAATAAGTTTTAATGGGTGGAGGGTTGAGCGGTGCGGCACAGCGGTTCGTGCGCTTTGCCATGAACCCGGCGCCCCAGAATTCTGAGCACAATTCGCGTCATCGGCCAGTGATACCTGAACCTGTCCACCGGCCCTGACCAGCCTGGTGAGGTCTGTGCTGTTGTAGTGGTATTGACATCGAAGACGATTGCTCGTTTTTTTTTTCATACATTTTTAAAAATATTTTTATAATTCATTTTTGTCATTCAAGGACCCAGAATTACAAAAGTAGATTTCAAAAAGAGGGGGG